AGGAGTATTTTAATAGTATGGTTGATTTAGGTGCAGTGAATCAACGTATATGAAAGATTTTTGAGTTGACATGCTTTATGCTTCCGAAGTTTATCCATTTATATGTTTTACATATATTTTATATATATAACATATATGTTATATATATAACATCGCATTGATGTTTTAGTTGTAGATCTATTTTAAGTGTTTGCATGTTTTTGTTGATTGAATATGTTTGTATTTAGATGGTTATAATGAAGAGATGTTAAGTGAATGAAATATTTTGAGTATGGATTCTATAGTTGCATAGATTTAGTAATTGATTATTGTGTTCATTGTAGCTGCAGTTTTGCATTATAAATATAAAAAATGTATGGGGAGGGGGCGCCAAATTGAAAGTTTGTCCCGGAGGGGTGCCAAATTAGTAAGTTTGTCCCCGGGCGCCGGGACGGTCGCTACGCCTCTGTCCATCGCCAATTTCAAACAACCCCATTTTCAACCCCATCTCCCCCACAGATAAGACAACAAATGCCACTCACCCCTTTCGCAAATAAAACATCGTAGTCAACAAACCACTGTGGAAAACGTGCTTTCAGCACAAATGATGGATCAAAACAGTGAAACCTGGTGCGGTTCATTACGTCGGTCGTGTCCTTTAACCTGACGCCCAAGTTCTGCAGACACTGTCCCATCTCAACATCCTCATGTCCTTTGTCTTTCACGCACATCTTGGAGTCCTTTGAACCGACCTCTCCATACCGTCTTAACGCCTCCTTGCTTAAGACGTATCCACTCCCCCCACCAGCAAACCCCTGTTTAACATAGGGCTTAAATCTCTGGCCAAAGTAAACCGGCTGGGTGGGATCTTCGTTTAGCAGGAGGTACCGAAGATTCTCTACAATGACGTATGTGTCGTCATCAGCTTTTAAGAACCAATCAGCGTCTGCCATGTGGTGATCGTACAGATATTTAAACGCCTGAAAACAAAATACAACCTCGACCTAACTAGGAACGGATTCAATACATAAAGCTTTTGATATGTACTTATTTCAAATCAAACAAGCTAACAAACAATTATATATACATTACTTACCAAATATTTTAGGCTTTTATAATTATACCGAGAGTTAATTATTACTAAAAGTGGATTTTCTTAATATTTATTTGCATCTGTAAACTTTGTAATATATTACGAGTGACCAACTGTATATAAAAAGAAAGTCTTCTTGCCACCTTGTCAAGTTTAAGAGAAAATAATTTGGTAGAAGTGGGTGAAGTTTGGTTCTCAAGTTTCGCCCCATAGAACATGACGAAGATTCAAGTTAAATGTAAAATTGTGAAAAGTGTATCAAAGACAGTTATTTGAATTAGAACAAATTCCAGGATTACCTTCATCGTCTTGGCAGTCAGATGATCTCTGCCCTCTGGAACATCGAGTCCAACGGCTGGAAATTCTGGGTCAGCAACAGAACTCATGAACAGGACCAGGTTACAACGTTTGGCCCAGGTGTTCTTCACGTGGATGGCTTTACTAGCAAAAGGTCAATGTCTTCAATTATTTGAGCAAATATGTTATGTTATTTTAAAATGCTTAGAAAACTTTAATAAACGTTTTTCTTTGCGTTGCAGTCGTAATCATCTAAGTCGACACCCTACAAAACTACAAATATTTGCTATAAAATCCATACACTAGCTAAGAAGATATTTACAAAGATTCTCTCCCCCATATTAACCTCAGTATCTAAGTTTTGTTTACTTAATTCGTTAAGCGATAGAGTGATCTCTCGTTTATTCTACGTAATTTCCCTTCTGTTACGAAGACGGTGAATTAAGTTTCAAAGACTAATTAATATCTTTACATTAACCATTAGACATCATTGTTGTCGTTATTTAAGATTTGAAAGAAATCGCTCACTTGGAGAAGTATCCATATGAGTTACAGAATGGCAATAAGATATTACGATCTAAACTTTGCACTAACACTAATATTGAAAAACAAAAAGTATAAATGTCAAACAATTTGGTTTAAAAGTTTTAGAATAGACGAGTATCCGTAGATTAGAAAATGGAACTAAATGCGGGTAGAGTCTGGTAGAGGTCAGTTATATCGATGACGTAACAATGTGGTGTTTACCTGCGTAAATTGGTAGGTGACGTCATAATCCAACAAGCAACTCTAACCTTGCTGTAAAGTTCTTTAGCAAGTAAATCATCATCTACATCAAATAAACACGTCATCAGTTATACAATCAATCATCACGTCCTCATTATCTACACAACCAATGAACATCATTTTTATTAATCATTCAACACAAAATTAACATTTATTAAATTAATGCATACTTTCAGTTTAGTGAGCATAAACTAACAAAGATGCTAGATCGGAAAGTGTCAAAGTTTTGTTTTACTGGTACTGCTAACCGAAGACTAAATGACACCCTAACTTTAACCCTAATCTAAATGTATATTAGCCATAGACTTGACTCTATATTTGACACTATGCTTGACACTAGACTTGACACTAGACTTGATTTGACACTAGACAACACTAGACCTGACACCAGACTTGACACTAGACGACACTAGACTTGACACTAGACTTAACTTGACACTATACTTGACACTATACTTGACACGAAACTTGACACTATACCTGACATTAGACTTGACACTATACTTGACATTAGACTTGACACTAGACGACACCAGGCTTGACACTAGACTTGACTCTAGACTTAACTTGACACTATACTTGACAGTAGACTTGATATGACACTAGACGACACAAGACTTGACACTATACTTGACACTATACTTGACACTAGACTTGACACTAGACTTGACACTTGACTTACACTAGACTCCACGTTAACCAGGTGGTCACAGAAGATAACAAACAAATAGACACAAGATGTTTACTTAATCTCACACTAAACTTCTGATTCATCCCACAATAAATATCTGATTAATCCTACACCTAAAATCTGATTAACTTCACTGTTAACACCTAATAATTATACACTAAACATCTGATTAATCACACACCAAACATTTGTTTAACCCCACTGTTAACACCCATTAGGCCCAGAGTTTCTTCCAGGCATCTCTTCTAAATAATTTATATAGAAAATATAAACTTTTAACAGTGCCCCCCCCCCCCCCCGAAGAAAGTCTTCCCCCCCCCCCCCCGAAAATTTCAAGTGCCCCTCGGAGAAAAATGTCTGGAAGAAACACTGATTAGGCCTACACCAAACAAAGAAAACTAGCAAGACCGTCACCATGTAGATACTGTGAGTCCACAAACTTCTGCTGCTTAGATTCACTCGTAATTAAAACCGGAAGTCTAGAGATTTGTGGGCTGAAGTTTCTGGCATTGTTTCCGCTCGGTACCTGAAATATTTGTGTTTACATTTTTTTCATCATTACTAAATCCTAAGTTTGATATAATTAAACTTAGGATTAACATGAAAGGATTTTTCTGTGATTAAAAAATTAAGATTGCAGAAAACGCAGAGATGAAAAATCCAAATTAGATATTTAAAGATGTGACCATATTACATTTATTCATTAAAATTAAATAGAAATCATACTTCAACGAATGTTTTCTAGACTTTACGACAGAGTGATAGTAAAGTTTGAATTCACTGTCTGAACCTAAGAAATATTGAATGAAGCAGAATAGATGTTCCGATATCCTGTACTCAACATTCTCCCATTCATGTTCCATATGCTGCACTAAACATTATCCCCGTACACTTGTTGTGTAATTCTGTGGTCCTCTTACACATTTTAAATAGCAATCTCTTTGACGACTTTTTAACACGTTTTTCTTAACTCAGCTTCGCGTTTGTTTGTTTGTTTGTTGTTAAAATTGACATCGAAAATTAGCCCACTTCTGATTGCTCTATAGATCTGAAATTTGGCATGTAGGCTACTTTCGCCTAACAATTTCAGATGCAATCATAAAAACTAGCAATTAGAGACCGTAATTAGCTTAATTTAATTACGCCCCAAGGACCATAAAATTGAGGACATGATTTCTAAAGATACCGACAAGACTGGAGGCCTATTGACACAGTTACTTCGGCCCCAATCGATGTGAGCGCGCTGGCCGTGATCGTATAGTGGTTAGTACTTCGCGTTGTGGCCGCGACAACCCAGGTTCGAATCCTGGTCGCTCAAGATTTTTAGTCCGTGTATTTATAAACACTTAGTCAAGTCATACTTAATCAAGTCATTAGATAAAGTAGAAAATAAACTATATAAAAAACTTTTTAAAAAACCACGTTTTTCATGTGTAGCAACGGACTAAAAAGGAGAAAATAAAATACTTAAAAAAAACTTTTTAAAAAACCACGTTTTTCTTGTGGACTAAAAAGTAGAAAATAAATTTTTCTTTTGTGCTTCCTCGAGCTGTGCAAAAAACGTGGGTCGGGCAGATGGGTCGGGAAATTTGATGGTGAACGTACCCACGTTTTTTTGTCAGTCATCACAAGAATCTGCACAGCTCGAGGAAGCACAAAAGAAAAATTTATTTTCTACTTTTTAGTCCACAAGAAAAACGTGGTTTTTTAAAAAGATGTTTTTAAGTATTTTATTTTGGAGAATATTTTGTGAAACATCTTCTTCTTTCTTCTTCATCGTTCTTAATTATTAGTATTAAAGGGGATCGAGATTTATCTGTCAGTGGGTTTGAACTCGAGACTTTGTTCGAATTTATCAACCATGAGCTTTTTGCCGACTCGACAACGCCTCCAACACAATTAAGCGTTACGTGTCAACTGGTTAAGCGCCATTGAGGCCATTGACTCCGATTTCAGCCTGCTTTTCTTTTTGGATTTGCTTCCATAGCCTTTGTCCAAAAACAAAGACGAGCCTCATCTGCCCGAGGGTTCGAACTCGAGACTTTTCGGTTTAGCAACCATGAGCTTTACCGACTCGACCACGACGACCCCTTGTGAAACATCAATTTCAATGTTTATTGACGATCTTTTTTTTGGATCATTGTTTATTGGCGATATCACATGACACTATTTTTAGATGGTTTTATTTGAAAACTGACCCGCAATGTCAAAATTATGTTCTTTTAAAGGTCCATAATTATTTTACATAACTCAACTCAAATCCAATTTAAATATTTCTTACTAAGATCTACAAAATTTTGACGGCCATTTGCGTAAATTAGATGAATGTATATGTGAGTTTTAGCGTGAATTAAATAAAATAGTATAATTTAAAAACAAACAATAAATCAACCGGGCTGTCATATTTCTATTAGGCATTAATCTCTATTAATGATATAATGTAAACCAAGGGAAATAAATCTTCTGAAAACAGCAACTCACATGACTTTTGTTTATCTGATATCCAGATTTTCTGATAAATATATTCGTATATATATTTGTTCTGTCGTAGACGTGCAGGATTAATGACAGACTTAGACCGAAACACAATCCCAGAACAAAGTGACCATCATGTTGCTTGAAAGACATTGCAATCTCAAATAAGTGCTTACATCTAAGTAGGCTTGAAATATGAAACACTTGTAAGGATTATCGTCAAAATCCAATCAACGTTATAGCGAAATTTAAGCCAGCGTTATGTTAAAAGCCGATTTTAATTGGATTAGTCGCTAAGTCATGTGGGTAACATTGTTAGTCAGCATGCTCTTTATACACACACACATAAATTGTGGTTTTCAAACAAATTATTTCAATATCTTACCTCTCATTTAAGTATATTTCAACGCGCCAAATACGTACAAGACATTAATTCTTACAATATTCACAGAATCGACAAGAAACAATGGAAAAATTTAAAAACATTCCCTCAAAAATGTCTGTCATAAAATAATATTTAATATCAACGATGCGACACACCACAGGGTGATGCGCTGCTCCCTTAACACACCTTAGTGGTCATAACAATTTAAACCTTTTAAACGAACATTCAAACTGTAACACGAAATTGCGATCACAAAATTAAGTTTGCCAGAAATTTCTGATGATAAAACTTGTATTCGTCACAAAAAGTGTTTCTCCCTTTTTCACCCCCCCCCCCCACCCCCTCTCACACACACATAAAACCAACCACGTTTCTTCAACACACACCCCTTACCCCTTCTATCCTACCACTCTCTACAAAGGCGCTTGAAATATTTAATGAAACTATATCTTCTAGGGCAGGGGTCGGCAACCTGCGGCTCGCGAGCCGCATGCGGCTCTTTTGATATCAAGATGCGGCTCTCCAGCTCCTTGAACAAATGCTAATAATCTTAATAAAAAAATAAATATTTGAAATTAAAAAAAATGTTAGTGGCTCTTTAAAACTAGGGAAATTTTGAAAATTGTAACTTTTGGCTCTTCCGCTTCAAAAGGTTGCCGACCCCTGGACTAGGGTGTTCGCTGTTTTTAAGTTGAACACAACAAAACAATCAATGACACACTAACTAATTGTTCCTGTTGCTGTACACTAGAAAGCAATCAATGACACACTAACTAATTGTTCCTGTTGCTGTACACTAGAAAGCAACCAATGACACATTAACTAATTGTTCCTGTTGCTGTACACTAGAAAGCAATCAATGACACACTAACTAATTGTTCCTGTTGCTGTACACTAGAAAGCAATCAATGACACACTAACTAATTGTTCCTGTTGCTGTACACTAGAAAGCAACCAATGACACACTAACTAATTGTTCCTGTTGCTGTAACCACTCACGTTTCAGTTTTATGGCTGCTGTTGTGCTAGCTGCTGACTATGATACCCCCCCCCCCTACCCTCAGCACATACCTGGCATACGGTACGCTCCATGTCGGTTGTTTTTTTTTTAATTGAAAATAAACATTGGGGTTTAGTCCTAGTGTAATCGTCAATTTGTTATGTTAACCTAGTACAGTCCTCAATTTGTTATGTTAACCTAGTACAATCCTCATTTCATTGTTAGACCTACTTTAATCCTCATTTTGTTGTTATTAGACCTAGTTATATCCTTACTTCCTTGTGATTTAACTTTTAACCTAGTATAATCATCCTTTAATTGTGCTCAGTCCATGTGTAATCTCAAAATAAAATAAAAATTTAATTTATTTTTATTATTCCCTCATAGTTTGAGATATTTTGCCCTTCCCTTGTTAATACAGTTCTCAGTGTTGAAATCCATTTCAACTTTTTGTCTCTGACAAAAAAAAACAAATTTTTATTTGAATCATCTGCTAAAACAATGAGTATAACTTCAATAGAAAATAAAAAACAATGGAAAAAATCATGCCATTTTTTCCGGCGTATCAAAAACAAATATAATAATAATATTATTTAAAAAAAAAAGAACATGGATTGTACTTTATTGCGTGATACAAACAAATAAATAAACATTTGTAATGTGAACTTATTTACAATTTGTTTTTTTACTTTGTCAAGTCAACATCTCTTTAAAATATACGCATACATCATACAACTTTGTGCTCAAGCTCAAAGCGACATCAACACGATTTACAACACATCATACGAAAACAACACAACATACAACACAACACAGAATACAACATACAACACAACATACATCACAACTTACAACACGGCATATAACACAACGCAACATAGAACATAACATACAACACAAGATACAACACAATATAAAACACAACATACAACAATGCAACACAAAGAATACTTTGCAGCAACACAGCTAGTGGATTTAATAGCTAGGACTCTATAGAATGTGACAACTACAATGTACACATAGTTAGGACTCTATGAAATATGACAACTACAATGTACACATACTGTTAGGACTGTATGAAATGTGAAAACTACAATGTACACATACTGTAAGGACTCAATGAAATGTGACAACTACAATGTACACATACTGTTAGGACTATGAAATGTGACAACTACAATGTACACATTCTGTTAGGACAATATGGAATGTGTCAACTACAATGTACACACACTCACGTGATTGTGAAATGTAACAATAAAACTAATCAAAAATGGAAACTAGATGGTTGAACATGTTAAAGCAGCGGTCGGCAACCTGCGGCTCTTTTGATGTCAAGATGCGGCTCTTCAGCTCCTTGCACAAATACTAATAATCTTAATAAAAAAATAAAATACTTGAAATAAAAAAATGTTAGTGGCTCTTTAATACCAGGGAAATTTTGAAAATTGTAACTTTTTGCTCTTCCGCTTCGAAAGGTTGCCGACCCCTGTGTTAAAGGGATATAACTGTAGGATAAACAACCTAAATAATAAAAAGAGTTATAGCTCTTTACACATCCTTACTGCATTACCAGCCAGTTTATCGGATGTTTCCAATAATAACACAATATTGATAGATCAACATTTGCATCGACACTTGAGGGAGGGGTGAAAATTTTCAGAATTTAAAAAAAAACTGATATTGGGATAAAAATACTGTGAAACATCACTCCAGCCCTAAGGTGTAACAATATTTTATTCATTGAACAAAGAAAACAAACCAGGCAATATTCGCATGCTAGGCTCGCATTTTACACAGATGGCTAAAAATACGTGTAAAACAGAAAATTATACAGGTGGTTCAAAATAAGTAATAAAAACAGAAGCAATTTTAGGTGATTAGTTATAAGTGGTAAAAACCCATTAAGTTAACGTGGAGATTATAAGTTTTCTAACAATTGATATAAAGAGGTAGGCTCAAGCACATCACAGTTTTGTTCAAAGATTGCTGAAACTCAATGGACTAAACCTTATTCAAACTATGGGCGAAGTGTTTTTAACTCTTTGGGCTATATATTGTTTAAGCTCTGAAGGCTAAACGTTGCTGAAACTTTGGGAGCAAATTTGTTTGAATGTCAATAAACGCTAAACCTTGTTCAGACTATGCTGTCGTTATCTTGTTAAGACTCTGCGGGCTGTTTAAAATGCCATAGGGACGTAGGTGATAGATAAAAAACTCCAGAGTGTACATCTGGTTGGGATGGATGTAGTGGAAGCTCACGGCGTAGTCGCTGATGTTCTCAATGCCCTGGGGAGAAATACAATGGCGAGGTGTAGGTGCTTTAATAGCAATAATATTATAGGCATATGATACGTTTAGAGTTGTTCTACGCCTAGGAATGTCCAAGGTGTATGGATGCATTGATTGCAGCAGCATTAATTCGGTCAGATGTTGATGCAATTTGGTTAAATATGACATAATTACATGCTAAGGTAGCAGCTTAAAACTAAACATCAGTTTAGACTTAAAATAGGTATGTTTAGAAATGCGTGGGATTATGTTTAACTTGAATTTAAATAGAGTTTTATTTTTAAATTTTAACCAAACTAACACTGGTAATTTCACTTTTACAGCATATTTATCTTAGACTTAACGAGTAAACTACATCTTTATTGAGGGAGGGGGGAGTTTATGTCGTGCATAGTGATGGGATGGGCTGTAACCCATTTATCTACAAGGTCTACTCCAATGGTTTCCAGCTAACCTTTAAAATATAGGCAACTTACCTCTACAGTAAATATAAACTTGGCTACTCACCCCTTTCCCAGATAAAACATCGTATTGCATGAACCACTGGGGAAAACGTGCTTTCAGCACACTCTCTGGATCAAAGCAGTGAAACCTGGTACGGTTAAGTGCGTCTGTCGAGTCTTTTAATCTGACGCCCAAGTTCTGCATACATTTCCCCATCACAACATCTTCAGATCCGATGTCCTTGAGACAGATCTTGGAGTCCTTTGAACCGATCTCCCCATACCGTCTTAACGCCTCTTTACTTAAGACGTATCCGGCTCCACCGCTTGCATACCCTTCTCTGACGTAGGCCTTAAACTTCTGCCCGAAGAAAATAGGTTGGGTTGGGTCTTCGTTTAGCAGGAGGTACCGAAGATTCTCTACGATGACGTATGTGTCGTCATCAGCTTTTAAGAACCAATCAGCGTCTTCCATGTGGTGATCGTACAGATATTTAAACGCCTGCAAGAAAACATAAATAACGTATTAACTGTCAACAAACATACAAAGTTATTGATA